AAACTTGCTAAAGTGTCACTGTTTCTGCCGGGTGCATATTTGATAAGTGCACAAGTGAACAGGAGACACTTTGTTCCTGGGGCTGTTTGACTTGTGTTGGTTGAGCTACATGGTTATGATTATAAGTTGATGCATATACGCGCAGTCTTGGCTTATGTGTTTAAAAATCTATCCGTACAAATCTCAGTATATAGTGATTATATCGTATTCTGATTTATCTTTATACTTTATAATCCGGGAATGATACTCTACTGTATATCGTGGCTTGTTTTGAGTTTGTCTGGAATGACATGTATATCCATAAACATAATAGTATTCTACATGCAACTTCTTTGGTGTGATCTCTTTTCGGCTGATACTGCTTGCCTCTGACGTTCGATTATTATATACACCTACCTACCTTCATGTATCAGAAGTAGCTCTATACTACAAAAGTAATGCAGTGTGCGGCAATAGTGTGTATGCCATTTGTACATAGCCACACCGCCACAGCCATTCCTTTCGCCCGGCGGACTCTGCACATTCATCGGAACACCTAAAAAACAATGAGTCTGAAGCGTTCAACGCATACTCACCTGTTATATTCCTCGCCACCTCTCCACATACTTACTTGCATTCTCCGTTTACAAGTAGAAGACAATGAACCCAAGGCGTACAACGCATGCTCACCTCCTGCTATCCTCCTCTCCACATACCTACTTGCATTCTCCGTTTACACCTAGAAGACAATGAACCCAAGGCGTTCAACGCATACTCACCTCCTGCTATCCTCCTCTCCACATACCTACTTCCATTCTTCCATTCCTTTCGTTTGGCTCAACGCATACTCACCTCCTGCTATCCTCCTCTGCACATGCCTACTTTCATTCATCCTTTCCTCTGCTTTCCTTTCCAGGCCACACACCTACTTCCATTTATCCTTTCCTTTCCTTTCCTTTCCTTTTGTTTTGTTTTGCACAGGACTTTCCTTCGCTCAAGGGCTCTGTACCGCTATCGTACATGTTCGATCTGTTCCCAATGATCCAACCGCGGCAGTTCAGCATTGCGTCGTCACCACGTGCGCACCCGAACGAGATTCATCTGTGTGTGGCCATTGTGAAGTACCAGACACGCATCACCGAACCACGATACGGCCAATGCACACACATGCTTGCACGGACTACTGTAGGGCAGCGACTGCCTATATGGATCATGAAGGTGGGTGGAAACGCGTTGATAACGTTTATTCGGTGTGTTATGCGGTCTGTGAGCACACGTATTCGAATGAGTTTTGTATCTGTCTGTGGGCATTGTGGAGTGTTGAAGACGTGTCAATGTATCAGAATATAGTATGTGCACAGATGTACTGGCACGTACTTCGCTAGGGCAGCGATTGCCTATTGAGATAATGAAGCGGATGATGTGCACAAACTCTTTATGAACATCTATGCGTGAATTATCCATTCCACACATTAAAGTGATGTAACTCGGTCTACCCAAGTACATACTTATCAAGTACAAGCTATGTTTGGAGACTTTCGTATATGCCTGGTTCTCAAGCGGCGCACTCGCTTACTGATGTGACCTGTGTGAGTTCGACGGAACATCTCCGCACATGCACCACGCAACCATTGCACCTATTGTGTACAGAACAAGATAACCAGTCCATCGATACGAGGGCACGGATCTGTAGGGTTTTATGGCCCCTAAACCCTAAACCTAAAACCCTAAAATCCGTAGAAAAAACCCCGTATCAGTAGGTAGTGCTCATCTATGTGATGGTATATCCCGTTGCAGGGTACGATATTTATGCCGAAACGTGAGGACCTGCCTATGCTAATGATTGGGCCAGGCACTGGCGTAGCGCCGTTTAGAGGGTTTATTGGTGAACGTCTAGGAAGAGCACCATCCGACGATGCCACAGGTACGTTGTCAGTGTACTTCAGGTGGTTAGGCTATGATGTTATTGCACCGTGTGTGTAAGTGTTGAGATTGCTATGTCGTATGTGTAGGTACTCGTGATGTCATGGGCTGTGTGTTTGTTGGGATAAAATTTTCTGGTGTGCTGCAGTGTGTGCTATGTATGTGTAGTGTGTGCTAAGTATGTATAGTGTGTGCTAAGTATGTATAGTGTGTGCTAAGTATGGATAGTGTTTTTTATTAGAGATGTCTTCTGCATTCGACTATTAAATTCTACTGTACTCAGTGCGTAGTGTGTGCTAAGTATGAGTTATCTATCGAGGCATCAATGGTAAGCTCAATAGCTGGTATGTGGTACTCTGTGTTTGGGTGCTATGCGGTTTCTGTCGCATATCTGTGCACACATTGATCACTTGTGTGTACTGTCCGATCCCGTGGGGTGTGGTTAACGTATCCAGTAATGCAATAAAACGTTTATGAGAACCGCTTGGATGATCTGGCTTGTCAGTACATAGGTACACTGCCGGTAGCCCGTTTATTCCTATGTAAAAACGTATGGCTAGGCATGCATTGCGAAATATATCAACGCATACAGCAATACTCACAGACCAAGTGGTATTTTCTTGCTCACGGAAGATATGGATGGGATATGAAGTCATAGACCTCTAAAGTAGACACTAAAGCAGAACCCTGTGACTCTCCTTCTCTTCTGTTTGTCACAGATGGCCGACAGGGCGGCACAGCAAGTGCACACAAGAGTATGTTAGTGTTTGGCAACCGCAAACAGGAGAAGGATTACTTATTTGGACGTGAATGGGAGGCGTATAGGAAGTCGAACCAACTGGACCTGGTCACAGCCTTCTCTCGCGATCAGGTGCGTTTGGGTCCAGGGCCCAGGGCTCAGGGTTTAAGGTTTTGAGCGCGTGTGGTTGAGTGTACGGAGCGTTAATGCTGTATCTAGAGGTGATAGCATTACCAACTTTATATTTGGTGCCCCACCCACGTGATAATCCAGATCGTTTACGTTTATTACGCCCAGCCTGTCCTGGTATACGACCGTCTGTTTAAACAAACGGTCTCACTAAGCTTCCGGTGACCGTATCATGCGCGTACTACTATTACAGTCGCTCATGCCTTCCGAGTTAAACGTTTTGCTGAACGCACTGTTAGCGTGGCCAAGTAAGCATGTTCGCTGCGTGATCGTTGGGTGGGGTGGCGCAACTACATTGGATTGTCGTATCGTTGCAGACCAAATACCCAATACCCGGTATACCTCCCCACGACCAAATACCCGGTATACCTCCCCACGACCAAAATACCCGGTATACCTCCCCACGACCAAAATACCCGATATACCCCTCCACGACCAAAATACCCGGTATACCTCCCCACGACCAAAATACCCGATATACCCCTCCACGACCATTTGGTGATCTCTGCGGTCCTAAATTACACACACGCTCATCTCTGACTAGTACTCTATCTTATTTTCAATGATACCTATCTCCAGAGTATCCTATGCATTGTCGGTCATCCTACACCCATATCTTAATTTTACGGCTGTTTCTATAGCCCTTATCCTTGCCCTAATCGTTGTACTGACTACCACATCTGGTACTCCCGGTATATATTCATTTTACGGCTGTTTCTATAGCTTATCCTTGCCCTAATGTACTGACTATTACATCTGGCACTCCCGATGCCCCCCAGCCCGACAAGGTCTATGTGCAACACGAGATGATAAACCGAGGGAAGGACATCTGGGACCTCATCCACAACGGCAAAGCGGTCGTGTATGTGTGCGGGTAAGTATAGTCTGTGCATGTTCGATGTGTGCGGGTAAGTATAGCCTGCGTATGTTCATGTTGGAACCTACTGTGTGTGGTTGACAGGCTACCCCGTGCTCTACTTAGATTTGTACTGGAGTATTGTGTTGTCTCAGGGATGCGCGTGTGTATGCGTATAAGAGTTTTAAACGGTTGTGTATAGTCGTTGTGACCACTCCTACCGATGCATGTCTTAAACGGGGGCCCTCGATGTGTACTTCAATACTAAACTAAACACAAACGCCAGGCAGTTGTCATGAATTTCCGCATCCTTGTAGTACCTTAGCACGCTTTTGAGCTGGAGTTGGGTTCGAAATTGGTATGTTTGTACACGCTCACTATATGCATACAAAGTGGTGTATCTATTCTAAAGTAAACGGATAGCATTCTATCATCCCCACGCTTTTGTATAGGGATTTTAGGCTAATTTTAGGGAATGTGTAGTTGAAGTTAGCTTCTGATGTGCGAGTTTGGCATACCAATCTTTTATACCACCTGTATGCGTGTGTGTAAGGATTCCGAATTTATACCGGGGTACGCCAGGGTAAAGTTGGTTTCTGTTATGAAAACATGCACCACGCACACGGCAAGGCTGATTCTACTTCCGCTCAGACGACTACCTACACTGCTGATGCATAGGAACTCCAAGCGAATGCCGGACGATGTTAAGAAAGCCCTACGTACGATAGCACAGACACATGCGCCCATGACGGAGGATGAAGCATCGAGCTATATAACGCAGCTAGAGACCGCTAGACGTCTGCAGTTGGAAACTTGGGCCTAGCACTAATGCTCCGGTAGGGATAGGCTACGACTGCAACTAGAGAAAGGGGCTTAACGGATACGGAACTCGGATACGCTTTTAATTGTGTGTTGTTGGTGGGTTTCGTCAGTCAGATTGCCGTGATAGAACGCACGCATGACCCATGCACACCCCCTATGAGAGACCGTGATAAAGGTCACCTAGTGTACTACCCTCGCGTCCTAAAATAGAATAAAAGCCACCATACACAGGAAGCATTTATTCGCCACATCGCCTGCAACTCTACTACGTTCAAGTACATCCACAACTGCGCGCACACGCAGTTGTTGCGATATGTACTAGGGTTATAGGATATCCAAATCAAAAGGTCTGGCACTCTCCTAACGTGGCAGAACAAACACAACAAAGCCTCTAAAATAGCGTTCAGTTAAATGCGCAGGCATTCCAAGTACTGTAGAAATCCTCCCGGACGCTCCTATTTGCAGGGAAGTATATGTACTTTTTGTTATATATACATGTATATACATTCTATACATATATATATATATATATATATATATATAATTTATGAGTTTAAATACGTATCATATATTCTATCTTCTTTCACAGTTTGAGAAGGCCTTCCAAT